AGAGGGAGTTCCAGTTGACCTAGGGTCGTGGTGTGTGATCCGGATAGGAGCACACTAGGAAGTCTCGGGTGTATATGGATGGGAGGGGTGGCTTGGTTGGATGTTCTAGGAACACGCCTTGGTTAGACCCGTAGGCTTATATGCCGAGCCATTAGGCAGGACATTGTGTGGTATTGGTAGCTACCATTCCAGCTTCGTCGTATTTTGTATCCCTATTGTTCCCAGTTTCTCTAAATCTCTTGCTATATCTCGTTTTTCAAGATGTTGTTTTATATTATTTATATGTATCGAAGTGAGCCATTGGGCGGATTTTTCTCCGGATCCTCTAGGTTACTGAGATATATTTGTATATCTCACCCCGTCTTGGGGGCATTATTTCAGGAGGTAGCAGTGGTGCAGAAACGGCGGGCAAGAAGCCCGTAGGATGACTAGCCGGAGTATCATTAGTATTTTGCATTTTGATGGCCATTGGGCCTAGACTAGACTTAGGGCATGAACATGTATATGTTGATAAGATGAGAGTTATAGTCATATTGTTCATGTTATTTTTGCCTAAGTTTAGTTGTATTAGTATTATGTCATGTAGAAGTTTCTTTATATGTATTATTTGGAGATTTAAGTTGTAAGTGTAATATGTCATGTGAAGCCTTGTAAATTATGCATGAGTTGATGTAATTATGAAGTACTTGTAATCTGATGGAAGGGCCTTAGGCCTATTTTAGGATTATGATTAAGTGTATGATTAGCAAATTCATGCAATTGGACTTTGATGATTGAAACGTATTAAGTATTAATAAACAAAGCAATGTGATACGTACTATATAAGTAAGATAAACTGTGATGGGTTGTAAGTGCCCTAAGGCATTGTTGGTCCTTGTGTGTGCCACCTAATGATTATTAGGACATTTGAGGTTCTAAATCACATTAGCAAATTTGGAGATATTTGTAAAAATAAAGGAAACTCTGACGAATTTTCTGTAAATTGGCAAAGTTTAGGTGAACTTCGAGAGAGTATATCTCCCTCTACAGAGGTCCGATAGGGACGTGCCATATGCCATTTTGAAGGTTGAGATGTCCTCTATCTTGTGGTAAAATTCTGGGCTGAGTGTCGTCCTGTAGGAGGCAGAGAGTGCAGACTGCCCATATGCTCACTGCACATGTGGCAGTTCTGGATCGATTTTGGGAAATTTATTCTCACTTCGTTTCTTGGTCAAATTAGGTGTATGATATATAAAATTGAAGATTGAGGAGTCTAGTTTATGGTATAAAAATTTTAGAGCAATTGGTTGAATGGATTTTCTGCAGTAATTCGTTGAGTGAGGGATGTTTGGAGCTGTTTTGGGGTTGGCTGGCAGCTTTGCTTGTCCAACTTCAAACGGCGATATCCGGAGCAAACGAGATCGAAATAACTCGTGTGATAGCTTCCTAGAAAGGTAATTAAGTGTAGAATAACATATCAAAATATGAGAGGTTCTCGACATGCGGATTATCCGCAGAAATTCAGAGACCGAACCATGTTCGGATAAGTAGAAAACGTAAAAGTGAGAAATTGGCTAAGTGGGTTTATGGGAACCCCTTAGTGACTTGTAGTAAGTAAAATAAGTTATAAAAGTATTCCAAATAAGTATTCCGCGAAGAGTTTACATTTACGGTCACAACTTTTAATTATTATACTTTTTATTGTTTTACATGCTCGCGTAATAAACGGAAAAAGTTTACTCTCATTTTTATAAATAAATTGTTGTGATTGTAACTGCGCTTAATATAATAATTAATGTTAACAATACCGGTGTACAATGGATTGTTACAACTTGCGCAATTGGGTTGAAATTAAGAGAGCAAATGTGTTTTCTCTTAATGAACTGAGGAACGTTCTACATCATAATATATTTTTCAGCCAACAGCTTTTGACCCAACACCAAGAACAAGCATGTGGCAACTAAGGAAGAAATCAAAATTCAGAAGGAGAAGATGAAGACATAGAGGTGAGACAGGTCATAAAAATCATTGGGAATCTCTTGGTGACCCAAACAAACCATGTGGTTCACAAAGAGGTGGAGAACCCACTGCTGTTCTAAGAGAGAAAGAAAGAGATACAAAATTTGGGAACGATGAGGAAGCTGTAGATGAGAGGAAGTCATTGTTGAAGGGGATGTGTGAACCATCAAAGCTACAACTGTTGAAGAAGATAGAGCACCCACTACCATTGCCCAAAACTCCAGATGTGGGTGTTCTTGAAAAGGAGGAGGGTTCTACGCAAGAAGGAAGAAGATGGTTAGAGGAGAAAACTGGGTAATAGAGGAGCTTAGAAAAATTGGGCCAAGTTGCTAGCATAATTAATCAAGCCCAAAGTACTTTCAATGGGGTACCAACCCAATATGACCCAAGATAGCGTATCTTCTATCAAGGACGTACAAACCCCAGGCACCATCAGAGCCAAACTCGACGATGCCTTCAAAATTGTTAATGGCGACAACTGCGAAATCCAAACCCAAAGACAGAAGGATAAAAGATAGATAAGTATTGGTTGGTGATAGCTGCGAAATCCAAACTTAAATCCAAATATGATACTTCTTTATGCTTGGCACTCAGTGTATTGGTTGGCAATAGTGGAGTTTGGGTTCCGAAGAATCTCTTTCATGGAGTATGCAGGGGAGGTACGTTTGACAACTTTAGTGGTGGATTTTATGCATTCTCGACCAAGTAAAACACTTCTTATGAAGGAGGAGACCGACATGCTCCTCAAGAGTTTAATGGATGAGGGTTGTCCTACAAGGAAAGGTGTTGATGACCATGTATATCCCAATTTTATGGATGTAGAAGTGATAGAGGTTGTTCCAGAATTTCTAAATATTGATTGAAGTGGTTGAAGTGGCAAGGAAAGCCAACAACATTACTAGTGCAGAGACCCTTTATTCACAAAACCACACGACAGAAGTGAATAAGGGCAATGGGATCCCGGTGGAGGTTATATAGCCTCGTGCATTAGTTGGCCATTACATTTCAAGCAATGGGACCCCGAAAAATTATCATCACCTTGAGGGCAATGTGATTGTTAGGGGGGAGTATTGATATGATCCTAGTCAGCAAAGAATTTAGAAGGGTGTATAAAAGAAAGAGAAGCATGGGAGTATTGCATAATTTAGAGTCAGCAAAAGTTGTTAGGAGTGGAGGTTAGTTGTGGGAAGTCACATTAGATGGCATTGGGTCATGTTGGGGGAGTTGTTTTTATTTAGAGGAAGGGGTTAGTATTCTGAAGGGCATATAGAACCTTGGATTGGGATTGAAACTTGGGAGAGAGTGAGGCCTCTCCAATTGTCTCACATTATCATTTTCCTTTTTTGCATTGTGTATTTTGTTTTCCATATATGTTCACTATTATTTTTCCTTTCCTTGTAATTGTTGTCTCTGTTTACTGTCATTTGGTTATAATGTCTCTTTGTAATCCCATGGATATATGAAAAGCTTGGTTTATCAGACCAAAATTTCTCATTCTTTGTTGTTTAGTTTATTTGTTTAAATAAAATAAATAAAGACCTTCAATACCAAATAGACTAAACAACAGAATAGGAAATATTGGTCTGATAAACCAAGCTTTTCATATATCTATGGGATTACAAAGAGATATTACAACCAAATGATAGTCAACAAAGACAGCAATTACAGGAAAAGTAAAAATAACAATGAACATGGAAAATGAAATACATAATGCAGAAAAGGAAAATGATAATGCGAGACAATTGGAGAAACCTCACTCTCTACCAAATTCCAGTCCCAATCCAAGGTTCCATATGCCCTCCCCTCCTCTAAATAGAACAAGCTCCCCCAACGTGACCCAATGCCATCCAATGTGACTTCCCACAATTAACCTCCACTCCTAACAACTTTTGTTGACTGAGTAATATTCCCTTGCTTCTCGTTCTTTTATACACTTTTCTAAATTTTTTGCTGACTAGGATCGTAGCATATTGACACCAAAGCACCATTTGACCATTCTATAAAAAAGAAGAAGAAGAAAGCACCATCTGAACAACCTTTAGCAAGAATTGAGCTGGTTAGTAAATAAATAAATAATACACTACCAACAATTTAAGAAAAATTTGTCGGAATTCAAACTACAATACTCTCTGACCCCAAGGATAGGGGTGAGATAGATTTTATAAAACCCTTACCCTAATATTTTTATAAAGGGTTAGTTTCTCGAACTCGAATTCGCAACCTTCTAATCTCAAGAACAAACCTTACTGCTACGAAGAAAGGCTGACCCTAAAAAGTAAATGAAAATTATAATATACAAGGAAAGCATCTTTGCGCAAGGTCACAAGCCCTTGAGTTAAATTGCCTTTGCTTTCTTGCAGCTTCAAATCTACCTTTCACTCCCTATTTACACACTTTATCTTCACTTTGGCATTGCTGCACATAGAAGAAATAACTTATCCTTTGAACTAATCCCTTTAGACAAAAACCCTCTTCATTAAGTAACTATATTATATTAACACACACACGAGATCCTTATGCCTCATGAATGAGTTAAGAACCAATCCACGTTTGTTCCTTCAAGGTTACTAACTGGGATTAATCAGCTTTGGACAGATAAGAAAAAGCAAATCCAAATTCTGCATTATTGTTTACCATTTAGCATTCCATGGTTCAGACTAGTTTATTCATATTTTATAATCATTGAAGATAAAACTGAAACAATTACAACCTTCATTACCAAAAGAATTTCCCAGCTTTACGTTAGATCAACATGAAGCTTTCCCTCCATCCTTTTCTGCTTTCCCATATTGATTTACTAAAAGCTCATGCAGCTTCTTCATCAAATTATTCCTTTCTTAAACCCAAGTAGTTTTAAGAGCTTCTAGTGTGTAAGAAAGTGAGACAACCATTACTACGTTTTCTATCTTTTGCTTTCATAAGTATAATTTTGTTGCTTCAGAAGCGAATATTAGGTTACTTGTGGATAACCACTTAAGCTTTAGCTTCAGGAAGAAAAGGATATGAAGCTGGTAGTGGAGGTTATTGATGCTCATGATCTTATGCCCAAAGACGGTGAGGGATCAGCAAGTCCATTTGTGGAAGTAGACTTTGAAAACCAACTAAGCCGAACCAGAACTGTCCCAAAGAACCTCAACCCCACTTGGAATCACAAACTGTTCTTCCATTTAGATTCAACCAAACCTTACCATCACCAAACTATTGAAGTCTCAGTCTACCATGAGAGGAGGAGACCTATTCCCAGCCGAAACTTCCTCGGAAGGGTAAGAATTCCTTGTTCTATTCTAGTTAAGGAAGGTCAAGAAGTTTATCAAACTTACCCACTAGAGAACAAGTGGTTTTTCTTTTCTGCGAAGGGTGAAATTGGCCTGAAAATCTATATTGCATCCCAGTCTAAACCCAAAGCTATCTCTTCCTTTTTTCCTTCAGAATTAGAAAAACTCTCACCTTCAACTTCGCCACAACTACCAGAGTCTACAACTACTAATATTCCTCATTGTACTCCCTCAACCACAGAAAATTTAGACCTTACTGACAAAACATTAGAAGCTGAACCCAAAGCTGAAGGTCCTGAATTTTACACCTCAAAAGCAACCACAGAAGAAGCAGAAGAAGTATATTCAACTTCAGTGACAAACTTCCCCCCTGCAACAGGTAAGTTTAGTGGGATTAATACTGATCAATATCCAAAGAAGGAAAGCAAAGAACCTGTCCTAGAGATAACTCAACAACTACACAAACACCAAGTTCTCCAGCAGCCAATGATTTCAATAAAGAGACGACAACGAGGTACTCCAGTCACAATGCACTCAGTTAACCCCCAAGTTCATCCCAGTAGCCAGCACTCAGTTAACCCTCAAGTCCATCCTAGTAGCCATGATGAAGACTACAATCTGAAGGACACCAATCCACAACTAGGGGAGCGGTGGCCTAATGGTGGAGCTTATGGAGGAAGAGGGTGGATGAGTGGTGGTGAAAGATCCACAAGCACATATGACCTTGTTGAGCAGTTGTTCTATTTGTATGTTCGGGTAGTGAAAGCCAGAGATCTTCCTCTAAGCACTCTCACTTCAAGCAGCGATCCTTACGTGGAAGTGAAGTTGGGGAACTACAAAGGAAGAACAAAGCACTTTGAGAAGAAATCAAACCCAGAGTGGAACCAAGTCTATGCTTTCTCCAAAGACAGAATTCAATCTTCTGTTTTAGAAGTCATTGTGAAAGATAAAGAAATGATGGGCAGAGATGAATATCTTGGAAGGGTGGTTTTTGATCTCAATGAGGTTCCAACCAGAGTTCCACCAGACAGTCCACTGGCTCCTCAGTGGTACAGACTTGAGGAACGAAGAGGAGAAGGGAAAGTTAGGGGTGATATTATGCTTGCAGTTTGGATGGGAACTCAAGCTGATGAAGCTTTCTCAGATGCTTGGCATTCAGATGCTGCCACTGTGTATGGGGAGGGTGTTTTCAACATCAGATCAAAGGTTTATGTGTCACCAAAACTGTGGTATCTAAGGGTCAATGTCATTGAAGCACAAGATGTGATACCAAGTGACAGAAGTCGCCTGCCAGCGGTTTTTGTGAAAGCTCAGATGGGAAGCCAAGTACTAACAACCAAGCTATGTCCAAGTAGAACAACTACACCAATTTGGAATGAAGATTTTGTTTTTGTGGCTGCTGAACCATTTGAGGAGCAATTGACAATAACTGTGGAGGACCGTGTGAACCCTTCAAAAGATGAGGTACTTGGGAAGATAATCTTACCATTGACGCTCTTTGAGAAGCGGCTAGACCACCGGCCAGTTCATTCTCGTTGGTTCAATCTTGAGAAATTTGGTTTTGGAATGCTAGAAGCTGATAGGAGGAAGGAGCTTAAATTTTCCACCAGGATTCACCTGAGAATTTGCCTTGAAGGTGGATACCATGTTCTGGATGAATCCACTTTGTACACAAGTGACCAAAGACCAACTGCTAGACAGCTATGGAAGCAGCCTATTGGGATACTTGAAGTAGGCATCTTAGGAGCACAAGGGCTTCTCCCAATGAAGATGAAGGATGGTCGTGGCAGCACAGATGCATATTGTGTTGCCAAGTATGGCCAGAAATGGGTCAGAACAAGAACAATTCTTGACACTTTTAGTCCCAAATGGAATGAGCAATACACATGGGAGGTTTATGATCCTTGCACTGTAATAACACTGGGGGTTTTTGACAATTGCCATTTAGGTGGAGGGGAAAAAGGCTCTGGTGGCAGTGGAGACCGGGATGTACGAATTGGAAAGGTAAGGATTAGACTCTCAACAATGGAAACTCAGAGAATTTACACACATTCTTACCCACTTCTTGCTTTGCACCCACATGGTGTTAAGAAGATGGGTGAGCTTCAGCTAGCAGTGAGGTTCACTACCCTCTCAGTAGCTAATATGGTTTATATTTATGGGCAATCCTTATTGCCCAAGATGCATTACTTACATCCTTTCACAGTTAATCAAGTAGACAATTTAAGGTACCAAGCCATGAATATTGTAGCTGTGAGGCTGGGCAGAGCTGAACCTCCCCTCAGGAAGGAGGTGGTGGAGTACATGTTGGATGTTGATTCCCACATGTGGAGCATGAGAAGAAGCAAAGCTAACTTCTTTCGTATCATGTCACTTTTCTCTAGCATAATCACAATGGGGCAATGGTTTAGCCAAGTTTGCCATTGGAAGAATCCCATCACATCAGTTGTAGTTCACATTCTTTTTCTGATATTGATTTGGTACCCAGAATTGGTACTTCCAACTCTCTTTCTCTACATGTTCTTGATTGGCATGTGGAACTATAGGTTCCGTCCTAGACACCCACCTCACATGGATACTAAACTCTCATGGGCAGAAGCAGTTCACCCAGATGAACTTGATGAAGAGTTTGACACATTCCCAACTTCTAGATCGCATGATGTGGTAAGAATGAGGTATGACAGGCTTAGAAGTGTAGCAGGTAGGATACAAACAGTTGTTGGGGACATAGCTACACAAGGAGAAAGATTTCAGTCTCTTTTGAGCTGGAGAGACACCAGAGCTACTAGCCTCTTCTTAGTGTTCAGCTTTTGTTCAGCTGTGATTCTCTATGCAACACCACCAAGAGTAGTGGCTTTGGTAACAGGTTTGTATTATTTGAGGCATCCAAGGTTTCGCAGCAAGCTGCCTTCTGTACCCAGCAATTTCTTCAAGAGGCTACCAGCTCGAACAGATAGCATGCTTTGATACATAGTTTCACACTTCATGTTGAATAATTGTATTAATTTCCTGTTGTACATCTTTGCAACTTCTTAGCATTCATGCTGTTCAAGATTAATCTTCGCAGAATGTTACTTGGGATAAATTTTAGATGCCAGATTATGATTATCACTGAATTCATCCTTTGTAAAAAACATTGTCATGGAGGCTATACGTATCATATTTTTGCCAGTTCTGTAAACTTACAGACAATATCAATGGCACCGGTAGTTTTAAGTTTGACATACAAGTAAATCAAACAAATGAAAAGCACACCAAAAAAGAATTCAATATATTTGGTTTATAGAGACTATAATAGCTGGACATGTCTGTCTAACAATAGCTACAAAAAGACTAAAGAAAAATGAGCAGATGCAGGATTCCAAAAAACATTAGAGAAGAGAACCCATCCCAGTTACGGAAAAATGATATTTAAGTGAGAAAGTCTCTTATGAAAACTGGCGAAGGGAAGGTACATTCACGGTTAATGAAAATTGCAAATGCCGTGTAAACTAGAGTAATTTTAATTCAAGAATAGATAAACCCCTATTACACTTTAAAAACTTTATCCTTATACCCAATTACATTCCAAAATATATACTAAAAAAAAAAAAATTACATTCCAAAAAGAATACCAGTAGCCATCGCAACACTGCCGCTAGAACCAGAAACAAGGCCCAGACCACCCGTCTGGCCCAAATAGTATCCTCCAAAAAATATACAACAATGCAAGGCAATGGCCGAAAAGCTCAACATTAAGACATAATTTTAATACAAAATCACGGAGCAAGCATCACATAGCATATAATGCATTAGTATGAATTTAAATATCAACGATTTTTTGTTTTTTTTTTTTGGGAAGGGGGGGGGGGGTTTAATTAAGGTACAAATAATAAAACTATTGATGGAGACTAGGAGAGCGAGCGAGAGGGAGGTGGAAGATCTTCTGGAACGCAGTGTAAAAAAGGCAAAAGAAAACGGAGTAGAAGACTCGCATATGGGCGATGAGATGAACGAGGAGGAACTGAACGAGGAAGGAGAAAAGCCATCTGGCAGAAAAGATCCCCTAAATAGTGAGAGTTCATACTCTCCAGTAGACGGCAAGAAGTTGGTCTCCTACAAGGATATAGTGCTGCAACTCAATGGAGAAGATGATGAAGGTGGAAACGACGAGGATGACTGGATGTCGATCCAAAGAAAAGAAGAGGATGACTTTGGTAGAATGGAGGAGGAAGTCCCGGTGGAACAGAAGAACCCTTTTTGTCCGGTTTATCACTTCTCTATGGCTCAACATAAAGAAGATTGCAAGAAATGGCGAAGTGCTCTGATTATAAAGCTTTTAGGGAGGAAAATCAGTAATAGATTTCTCATATCAAGACTACTGAGGCAATGGAGTCTGAAAGGAAGGTTCGAAGTCATAGATTTGGAAAATGGTTATATTCTGGTTAACCTACATGATGGGAATGATTATCATCATGTCTTGCATGAAGGCCCATGGGTGGTTGCTGAGCATTATGTGACTGTTCAAAGGTGGAGACGCATTTTTGATCCCTTTGATGAGAAATTGAGAAGATTGGCAGTTTGGATGAGAATCCCTGGGTTACCGCTGGAATTTTACACAAGCCAACACCTCTGGAGGATTGGGAACCTATTCGGAAGGACCTTAAAGATTGATAGGAACTCACTGAGAAAATAGGATAGTGGAGAAGGGGAGTATACAGAAAAGGAAAGGTATGCCCGAATCTGTGTCGAAATAAATCTGAGAAAGAGTTTCATTTCACAGTTCGAGGTGTTAGGGAAGACCCTGTAGGTGGCTTATGAAGGACTCCATTTAATTTGTTTTAAATGCGGAATGTATGGTCATAGGCAAAAAGCTTGCATAGGAGGTATCCAGAGTGCTAGTACTGAAGGGTTTTGTTCTGGAAGCGGGGAGAAGCAAACTGCTGTTGTTAGACCGGAAGTAATGGCGGGTGTTGATAAAGCTGAGGCCTTTGGCTCTTGGATGGTAGTCCAAAGAGGAGCCAGAGGTAGTAAACTCAAGTCAGTCCCCCTTGATCACTCCTGCGTTTGATAGTAGAAAGGAAGAGCTAGCTGTGGTGGCCGGAGACAGAGAAGGAAAAGGTGTTAGAGAGGAGGAGACCGGAGAGGACTCGAATTTCCAGTTCGCTGCGGGTGTGACAGAAGAGCAGATATGCAGGCTGGGGGCTACGAAAGGGGAGCAGGTAGTAGGAGTGGGGAACAAGTTGACTTCTATACCTGAGGCAAAAGGTACTAAAGGGGTGTCAGCGTCTGCTGATAGGACTGTCGACAGATCTGTGGGGCCAAGTCTCAAAAAGGCCGGAATGGGGGGCCCAGCTTTGATGAAAGTTGAGCAAAATAAAAAAGTTAAAGGGCCTTCTCGAAGTAGGCCCAAAGGAAGTGCTGCTCGGGACTCAAAGCCCATTGGAGCTAACTCTAAAGATACCAAGACGGGGGAAAGTCCTTCGAAGCTAAAACCTGAAACGGAAAAGAAAGAAAATAGAGAGGAAGACAAGGAAGTGTTACAAGTGATGAACTCCATGACTAAGGAGCAGAAGGAGCAAGCTCTGGAAAGAGTGATTTCTTCCATGTTAGAGCGAAGAGGGGAATTTCTGCTTCGAAGGATCCGGCAGTCCAAGAAAGGAGTAACAGGGGAATCAAGGATGGTGGCTATGATAAGCCAAGAACTATGAAGATTTCTCTTTCTGAGAATAGGGACCCTAATATTGGGATTCCTTTGCTTATGGAGTGTAACCCTATTGGGAATGACATCGATGGGACTGGCAGTTCCTTACAACACTGCCACGCTCCTAATTCTGTTTAATGAGGAATTGTAGAGGTGCGGGTAAGAAACGCCTCAAAGGAATGCTACTTATATCAGAAAGCATAGAATTGATATTGTTGTTCTTCTGGAGACCCGTGTTAGTGGGGCTAGAGCGGCTAAAGCTATTCGCAGCCTGGGCTTTGGTAATTGCTGTATTGAAGAAGCAAGAGGTTTCTCTGGAGGAATTTGGATATTGTGGAATAATCCTTTGTTCTCAGTGAACCTAATTGAAAAAAGTACTCAGTGTGTACATGTGATAATTGTTTGGAACAATGGTGAGAGCTTCATTTTCTCTGCTATTTATGCCTCTCCCAACTTTGAGTGTAGGAAGTTGCTTTGGGAAGAACTTCATAATTTCGAGAATCAGGTTCAGGATCCTTGGATGCTGGCTGGTGACTTCAATGAGGTGCTTTCCAGGTTTGAGAAGAAAGGGGGCACCGATTGATATAAACAGGTGCTCTATGTTTGGTAATGATGGATGATTGTAGGCTAATTGACTTGGGTGCCTCGGGCCCAACCTTTACTTGGAGAGGTCCCAAATTTGCGCATCTGGATCGAGTTTTCAAGAGATTGGAAAGAGTTTTGGCGTCGCCCTCTTGGAGAACTAACTATGATGAAGCTAGAGTGAGAATTTTGCCTAGAGTGTTGTCTGACCATGTTGAGAAAAATAGTCCCACATTGGTTGTATGGGCAACTAATGTGAGGTTTATAAGTTTTGGGTTGAATTGGTTCTTTACATGGTATGAGAGCCTCGCCGTCCCCCACTTTCTCTTGTGGCGTTTCTTAGCACAGGTAGGCTGGGCTTGTTGCATTGTCCACTCTTCAAGCCCAGTGGGCTCTCGTGTGAGGGGGCGTGTTGAGAAATATAGTCTCACATTGGTTGTATGGGCAACTAATGTGAGGTTTATAAGGCCTTGGGCACTCCCACCCTTTGAGCTAGCTTTTGGGGTGGTGTATCCCAAGGTTCTTTACAGACCACAATCCTTTGCTTATAAATTTGTTGGCTGAGAACGATAAGTGGGAAGATAGGCCCTTTCGTTTCTTTCCAGCTTGGCTCGAGCATCCTCTTTTCTCGAAAGTGCTCAACGAAAATTGGAATAATGGTATAGAGACGAGTAAGAACCTGGAGGCTCTCGCCCCTATCCTGAGTGAGTGGAACTCCTCCAATTTTGGTAATAACTCGAGGAATAAGGATATCATCCTCAGGAGAATATCTGGAATTCAACGCAAGTTGGCTGAGGGATCTAACTATTTCTTAGAAGGGTTAGAATCTGAGCTAAAGTGGGAGCTGGAGAAGACGCTGGACATGGAAGAAAAACTCTGGTATCACAAATCCAGAATGGTTTGGATCAGGGATGGGGATCGAAATACAAAGTATTATCATACTATGGCTATCTCCAGAAGAAGAAGATATAATCCATGTTCTGAGAGACTGTAAGAAGGCTAGGCCCATTTGGAATGCCTGGCTCGCGGGGGTAGGCAGGATAACTTCTTCTCTTTGAACGCCTCTGAGTGGATCAGGAAGAACATCACTAAAGGCTGGATTCACTATCAAGCTATGAGCTGGATGGACATTTTTTCCACCACTATCTGGCACCTTTGGGTATGGAGAAATAATGAGGTACATGATCCTCTCTACAGTAGACCCTTTGATCCAGTCCTCACTATTTCAAAGTTTATTGCTGAAAAAAGAGAGGCAATGGGGCACTTGAAACCTCAACTCTGCTTTCCGGTTTCTACTGCGGCAGAAAGGTGGCAACCCCCTCCTCTGGGTTGGTGGAAGCTTAATGTAGATGGGGCGGTGAAGTCAAACCATAGCTTTGCTACTTGTGGCGGTATGATTAGAGATGACAGAGGACAATGGATTAGAGGATTCACCTATAAGATTGGCATTTGTAGTTCGTTGATGGCAGAGCTGTGGGCTATTCATATAGGTCTCCAATTTGCTTGGGACAGTAGGGCACATCACCTGATTGTCGAGTGCGATTTAGCGTTGGTGATTAATGCTTTATCGAGTGATGGCAATCGATACAATACCCAAATGGTGAACTGCATCAAGACTTGGTGCTTGGAGGAATGGGTTGTGCAATTTGTGCATGGTAAGATAGGAAGAAACAACAGTGCTGACTGGCTTGCGCTCCATGTTGAAGCCAACGAGGACAACCTGGTGATCCACCAAGAAGTTCCCAGCGGATTGGGACAGTGGCTAGCTTTGGATGCTGGCGATTTGCTAATGTAGTTTTGTTTTGTTTTGGGCTTTTGCCCCTTATTGTACTAATAATAATAATAATAATAATAAAACTATTAAGACCAAAACTGGAAGTAAAAAAACTGGAAGTAAAAAAGCCTTGCACAATGTTTCATTACCAACGAATGCATAAATAACAGCACAATTATTAGGAACAAGTAGAGATCTTTATCAACCAATTCAAATCGTAATGACCGGACCGAAAACAAACTGAAAACCAAAAAAAAAATCACTAATTTTAATCGGATTTGATCAGTTTTTGAATTGATTGATGAAAACCAATCAAATCCAATATATTAATTCCTCTCTACCTACTTGGATCTTTCCCCAATCATAATCCAAAAAAATTTAAATCCAAAACTCATTAACCCATCAACTAAACCAAAAAAAAAACTTAATCACATCTCATCAACAAAAAACTATAACTATATTATTGTTTACTGATGCTTTTGTATTTCAAAAAAAAAAATTATAAAACCTATACAAAAGATGTTATTTGCACAATAATTATGCAACAAATTTTTGAATTTTCAAACAATCTAAAACCGATCCAATCCAAACCCAAAAAAATTGAATTGAATTGAATTTAAAAAAAAAAAATACAAATCAAATGTATGATTGCATGATCAAACCAAAAGAATTGGATCGGATAATTTTAGCTTCTAAAACCAATCCAATCCAAACAGCGAACCCCCCTAGGAACAAGTTCAACAAAAACTGAATAAGGAAAATAACTTTGTCTCAAGAAGACTAGCTCACGAGGCTTCATTACCAATTACATTCCAAAAAGAATACCAGTAGCCATCGCAACACTGCCGCTAGAACCAGAAACAAGACCCAGACCACCCGTCTGGCCCAAATAGTATCCTCCAAAAATATACAACAATGCAAGGCAATGGCCAAAAAGCTCAACATTAAGACATAATTTTACTACAAAATCACGGAGCAAGCATCACATAGCATATAATGCATTAGTATGAATTTAAATATCTACGGTTTTTTTTGGGGGGGGGGGAAGGGGGGCTAATTAAGGTACAAATAATAAAACTATTAAGACCAAAACTGGAAGTAAAAAGCCTTGCACAATGTTTTCATTTCCAACGAATGCATAACAGTACAACTATTAGGAACAAGTTCAACAAAAACTGAATAAGGAAAATAACTTTGTCACTCTAGAAGACTAGCTCATGAGGCTTCATTCCTGCCTTCAACGAAAACCTGGCACCCAAGTAAGACCTCATGTCCGGAACACTCTCAATGGCTTTTAACAAAGCAGTGTCCACAGTTTTTTGGTCATCTTTTTTTTCTTGGGGAAGCACATTTTTCTCCTACATTGGGAAAAAGATAACACAAATCAGCATCTCAGAAGCATCTGAAATAACTTGTAAAATCATCAATAAAACAAAAGACTGACAAACCAACCTCCTTTTCTGCCTCAAAGAACTCCCCTTCTCCCTTCTTTTTCTTTTTCTCTGCTTCCTTAGCAAAGTACTTGTCATCGAATTTATCAACATTAAAACCAGAGATATCCACCTTGGTAGATGTACCAATGACATACGATTGGTTCACCCTTCTCAGTGGAACCCCATTGATCTTAAAGGGACCTTAAATGGCAAAGACAACAACATGAGAATAAAGACCAAAGATAACTAAAGAACGTAGTCCCGGGATGAAATAGCGAGAGCCATTAATTGAGGATGTAGAGATTGATTCATCAATATTATAACTAAATCTAAAATGAAAATATACCCCAAAACACATCCAATGACACAACCACTAGCATTTGCAAAAAGGAAAATGGTCTGAAAGAACACAAGATTAACTGTGGGATTAGATTAAGCTTATTATTCAAAACAGCTTACAACCAAAATTTTACCAAGAGAACTTTTGGGAAAAAATAAAGAAATTATTTCCAAAAATTAAGTTTTACAAACATGCACCAAGGAAAGCTCTGTCGGGAATCAGCCAAATAAAAGTTCTTTTAACACCAAAATATGCTAATCCAAACACATACTAATTATTTTGAAAAAGCAAGCAAACATAAAAAGCAGCAAATGTATGCTAATTATTTATCAAAAGTAAAACGAGGAGACATACTAGAGCAAACAATGTTAACAAAAACTAGTTAAGCAGAAATTAATCTCATCACATACACACACCTGTGACAAGAAGCAACCCGGATGGAAGCTGCTTCAGGAAAACAACCCTCTTTCCTTTAAACCTCCCTGCAAGCAGAATCAGCACTGTCCCTGGAGTAATGCTAGCCCTGAAGACAAAAGCAAACCCAATTTAAGACCCCATTTGCCCCCATAAAAAAAGCAATAATAAAACAAGACAGGACGGGAAATTTTAAGTGGAGAAAATTCCATTTTATCATTCAACATTTAAACATTGACATTGCTCATCCCAATCTACACCTCGTGCCAAATCCCAGGCTGACAGCGGGGGTAAAACACACAAAAGCAACTATTCTATTACAATTTCTAACAAAAAAACCACTCAATCAAAAAGTACCAAAAAACAAAACACAACAATAAACACCCAGCATAGCTAGCATATCAAACAATCAAATTAAATTTATATGACAAACACACAAGCACATAAGGGTTCATTTATCAGTTAACATCTAGCAATGACATGACTTATCCTAGTCTGCACCTCATTAAAGCTAAAAATTAAAAAATAAACAAAAAATCCCTCCTAGCTAACGAATCAAATTAGAAACTAAAAATAAAATAACATAAAACACACAAACACAGAGAGATTCTTATAAATGTGATAGATAGAGTTAAACTAATCACCGGAGTTTTGTGGGTTTTGGCTTCCGCTTGTTGACGAGTGGCTTCTTCACATCGTCGGCGGGGTAAAACTTCGGTGGCTTCTCAGCCGTAGCTTCGGGCTTGGGATTAGGATCGTGACGAGGGAAAACGCCGCCGTTTTTGGCCTTAATGGCCCAGATGCCCCTCTTGTGGTACATCTGGGACCTCGAGTACTTGCCAATTCCCCTTATTAGATCAGGGTTCCTCGTCACCCTTGAGTTTCTCGGCTTCTTCGGCGCCATTGCTTCTGCTGCCAATGCTGCAAAACCCTAACCCTACTTATGTGAACTCGAAACGCACCGTGTAGTATATATATGTAAGAGCTGGGCTGGGCTTACCCAAAGGATTGAGGATCCTCGCCTCACACGCCCAAGCCGAGCCCGTTCCGTAAATTTTTTAAAAAATTAATTTGAATTTAATTATAATGCACGGTATATATCTATGCAACACTGACACTTCAAAAATTCTGACGTGTCGTGTCCGACACTTTTTGACACTCCGACACTTCTCGACACTCCAATACTTATTGCAAAGACTCAAAAAAAGTTCAAATGTTACGTTGCGTTGCATTTTAAGTTTCAACTATTAAATTCGTTATATTACGATTGTGATTTTATTGAGTTTAATATAAACATTTGGAATATATCATGTTTCTTTGCAAAATTGATGGGTATAATAATTTTAACTTTATTTTTTTGTTAAATTATTGAATACTAAATATAATATACATTACATAAATTAAAAATATTATATAATATCAAAATGTGTTCTAACGTGTCGAAATTTAACATTTTTTAGAATTAACGTGTCGGAGTATCGTGTCATATCTGTGTCGTATCTCATGTCCCGTGTCGATGTCGGTGTAACATAGCTATGTATTGTCATCTTCATTTAATTAGTTTGGTTACATTTTTGGTATAGTAATTGCTGACGTTATGGTTAATAAATTCATGACATTTTTCGAATATTTTGTTGACAAGTTCAAAGTCAGTTATGATATTGCATTGAAATGGTTGATAACATCATTGAATTCGAGGTTATATTTATTACTAAAAAAATTTACAATTTTCATTACCAAATTAATTATCATTGATTTTCGCTAATCTAACGGATACAATTTATTGAGTATATTTATTAATTAATTAATAATTCTCAATAAATTATAACTGTTAGATAGACAGTAATCAACGACGATTAATTTAGTAATAAAAGATATAAAAAAATTTAGTAATAATTATAACTGCCCATTCTTAATTATATTTAAAAAACATGTATCATACTGAGAAAAAAAAAAAGCAAAAGTTTGTCCTTTTTTAATGAGGTTAAACTGTTTTTTGGTAGAATCATTTTTTTTTTCTTTTAAAACTTTTAGGGTGTACATAGCAACTATTCTGTTCTCTGACACTGTTTCTAAAAAGAAACAATTCTTTTCTATTTTAGTGCCTTAGAACAATTTTTGAGAAAAAAAATATATGTTTGATAACATGTTTTATTTTTATTTCGAGAATGAGACTTGTGTTTGATAACACAACAAATAATAGAATAAAAAATCATTCATATTAAGCATAAATTTTTTTCGAATCATCACTTTTCTTTTCATATGGTGTGGTGGTGGTGGTGGTTGTAGTAGTGGCGTTGTGGTGGTGGTGGTGGAGGTGATGGCAATGGTGGTGATGGCATGGTGCCGATGGCGGCGACGGTGGTAATGGTGGCATGGTGGTGGTAGTGGTGTGGTGATGGTAACAGTAGTAGCTGCAGCGATGGTGGTGGTGATGGTTGATAATCGTGGTGACGGTGATGGTAGTGGTGACAACAGTGACCACAGTGATGATGGCGATGGTGGTGGTGGCAGTGGCAGTGGCAATGGCATGATAATGGTAGTGGTGGCAGCAGGAGTGGAGGTAATGATGCCATAGTGGCTGCGACGATAATGGTGGTGGTGGTGATGGCAGTAGCTGCGACGATGGTGATGATGATGACATGGTGGAGGCGGTGGCGGTGGTGTAGTGGTGGCAGTGACATAATAATGGTAGTGGTGGCGGCGGTGATAGGGGTAATGGTGGTGGCTGTGGTAGTGGTAGTGACAGTAGTGTCTACGACGATGGTGATGGAGATGACATGGTGGCGGCGGTGGCAGTGGTGTTGTGGTGGTGGTAATGGTGGTGGCGACATCGGCGATGGTGGTAATAGGGGTGGCGTGGTGGTGGTGGTGGTGATGGCAGTGGCTACGATGGTGGTGGTTGTGACGGTGGTAGTGATAATGGTGGTGATAGTGATGGTAGTGGTGGTGGTGGTTGGTGACGGTAGTAATGATATTGGTGGTGACAGTGATGGTAGTGGTGGTAATTACAGTGGTGGTGACGTGGAGGTGGTGGTGGTGGTGGTACGATGATGGTAGCGATGGTCGTATCAGGATGGTGGCGGTGGTGGTGAAGATGGTAGTGGTGGAGAGTAATTGAGAGAGATAAATGTTTCTCATTCTGTGCCCAGGAACAAAAAACTAGAAATTTTTTGATTCTTTTTTTTTTGTTACCCAGCACAAAAAATAAATCGGTTCATCCCGGGAACAAAAAAATAAATCGATTTTACCAAGGAGCAGAAATTAAAAAAAAAATGATTTCGGGAAGATTATCATGCACACCTTTATCAATAAGCACAATAGTATACTCAAAGATCCCTCTAAAAATAATTATGGAGAAAGCTCCGAAGAAATCTTCAGAGGAAAAATATCTCTTGCAACGCCGCAATAAGCGTATGAAGGATCATGGAAACCAGTTTTCTCATAATGTTTTGATGTTGCCTAGAGAGGAGGCTTGGATTTGGATTCAGGAGGAACCCCGACGATCATGGAAGGAAACACTAATGCGTCATAACAGCAAAAATAATGATTGGGAGAGCGATGAAATGCCTGCCTGATAAAGAGCATATCCAAGGAGAACCAGCAGAATAAGAAGACGTGAATTTGGGGGACATAAAGATGTAGGAAGAGGATGACGGAAAGACTCATTTTTCTTGTACACATAAGGCAAGGAGATGGATGTACATAGTTTGGGAGAAAGCCTTGATTGTGAAGCTTTTGGGACGAACTACTGGAGTTACATTTATGAAGAAAAAGATTGAGTCCTTCTGGGCAAGGAAGGGAAGAGTGAATATCATTGATATCGGGAATGAGTTTTATGTGGAGCAATTTAGTAATGGCGTGGATATGGATTTCGCTCTGAATGAAGGCCCTTGGGTTTTAGGGAACTACTTGTCATTAAGAAAATGGGTACAAGCTTTCAGGCCTAATGCTGAGGGCATCTCGAAGATAGCATCATGGATACGATTACCAGATATCCCTTTGGAATTTTACGATGAGGCATTTTTTCGTCGAGTGGGGAATTAGATTGGAAAATTGATAAAGATCGATAGAGCAACGGATGCTCATGCAAGAGGTCATTTTGCAAGGATTTATTGAAGGGAGAGTGTGTCTTGGAAGGGATGTTGAAGAAGATAGAGTATGAAGGTCTAAGGGCTCATTTGCTTCAATTGTGATAAATACGGGCATAACAAAGAATATTGCCCAAACTTGTTACAACATCATAATGCAGTAAATGATCCTCAAAAAAGTGAAGAGGCTCGATGTGTATCAGCCATAGCAAACCAGGATGGCCTTGGTCCTTAGATGGTGGTGAACCGTCAACGTCGCCCTAGAAACCAAGCTGTTGGGGAGGAAGCACGATCACCGATAACTGATAAATGAGGTTTTAGGCTTGATCAGGGGGAGCAATTATTACAATCTAAACGTCTAGATACTATTGCTAATGTTTCAAATTCATCATTTAATGCTTTAGCGAATTATGAGGAATCAAATCACGCTGAAGTGGAGAAAATCACAATGGAGCCCACACATGCTCAAATCATGGAGGAAAATAATGGGACAATTAATATGAAAGCGAGAAGATCTCATGGAGCTGAAATCAAGGGAGCCCACCGCAAAAATCGCGAGGTCCAATCTCGTGTTACATTGGAGGAACATTCAGATAGGTTTACTCTTAATGGGGCCCCTTCAACCTCTTCCTTAGCAACAAAAAATGCTTCACCAATCCGCAAAGTAGTGAACCCTAGGGAGATAAAGCTCAGTCAGCAAGAACGAGAAAAAGCCAAAATCCAGATTTTAGGACCAAAGCAGACGTAAGTGGAGAAACAAGGAGAAATACAACATGGGAATAACGAAGGCATGGATACTGATCAAATTCCTAAAAATTATTCCAACAATGATAATGGGTTAGATAATCCCAAGGCCCTGATCCAAGCATGGGTATGTCTCAAAACATTTTGAAACATTCAGTTAAAGCACACCAAATGAAAGTTGATATAGGAGTGATTGACATTAGAAGCCATGAGGAGAATTTAAGGTCCGTAGGGAACCTGAAATCCTACCCCCAATAAGGCATTTATGTCTATGATTGCTTGGAACTGCCGTGGAGCAGCAAAAAAGAGATTTGGTGGAACATTGTCTAGGATGATCAGAAAGTATAAGGTGGACATGACTACTATATTTGAACCTCGAGTTAGCGGAATGAAAGCAAAGAACATTATCAGAAGAATTAGTTATAGTGAATGCACAGTAGAGGATGACCAAAGATTCATGGGCGGCATCTGGGTAATGTGGAATAGAAATAATCAGTATCGTTAAACTCGATCTGGGCATCGACCCGGTCGGGGTACTGGGTCACTGGTCGGACCGGTGGGTCACTGGTTGGACCGGTTGATCCGGATATATATATATAGATATATAAAAATATATATAAATATGAACATATAAATTTAATTATATTCTCTATATCTAAAATGAATTAAACAAGGTTCATTAAATAAGCTAAAAAACATGAAGCAAAAATAAATAAAAGTGCATGCTATTACTATGTCAATTTAAATTGCAACTCAGAATTCTCATAAACATACCTCTCAATGACATTGAACTCATAGTTTTCAAATTCAACTAAATTAAAATGACATATTTCACATTCTCTAATTTATTATTCCACAAATTCCTTCAGTATTGGAAACTAAAAGGTCATTGTAGAAGAGTATACTAGCAAATAAAATTACAAAAAGTTTTTAAAATGAGATTTACATTTTTTTGATAAGATGAAACAATTTTGATTTTTTTTTTTAAATGCATGACCCGACCTGGTCGCCGGGTTTGACCGGGTCGATGCATGACTGGTCCAATGCTTAACCCGAACCGGTCTGATGACCGGTTCACCGGGTTCCGGGTCGACTCGGCCGAGTCGGGCCGGGTTTTACAACAGTGGAAATAATTGTACAGTTACGTTGATGGAAAAATCCTTGCAAACGATACACTTGTGAATTTGTTTTCCTGACAAGGATGCTTTTATTTGCACTTTTATTTATGCCAGCCCAAGAGAATAGGTAAGACGCAACGTTTGGCAGGACCTTCGACACATATCTGTAGTGTTGGACGACCCCTGGTTGATAGTGGGTGATTTCAATGAGATAGCAACCCCATATGAAAAGCGGGGAGGAGCCCCAGTTGATGTAAACAGATGTAACAAGTTTACCTTGAAAGTAAAATGGCCTTGAAGCCCAATGCATGTGAGAGGGAAAAACAAATTTTTTTCTCAAGCGGAATCACACATGCAATCAAGATTCATGATTTAAGACAACAAGATGTTACCTTTGTTTGTGATTCGAACTCTAAGTTAATCAATGTCAGGTTTGAAGGGTTCAAACCCTCTAACGTTGATCCTCATCACCCACGTCAAGATGTAAGAACTCTTTCTTGAAGAACCACCAATTGATCACCACAAAGAGGCTTGCTATGCGCTCAATAGGTGAAGGAGGAGGTAAGGTAAATGTGTTTAGAAGAGTGATATTTTCAGCAAGAAAACATCACAAAAGTGGTGCATAGAATGGAGTAGAATTGGCTAGGTGTTTTGTGAAAAACCCTAAGGAGAACCTACCCAAGTTGGTGCACAAGAGTGTGATGAGAGAGTCATAATGCAATCAGATTTTTCACTTAAAAAACTGATTGAGGTGGCGCACAAAGAGGGAGAAAAAGGTGGAGTTGTTGCAATTCAAAATTTCCAACAACCTACCTTTGAATCCTCATGAGACTAGGTCTTAACCTAGTCAAAATTCAGATCTAATGGCCATCATATGGCCAGCCATATGTGTGCCTCCTTCAGCCCCAGAAACGGTCCAGATACGTTGAGCAGTTGCATTCAAATTTGAACCAACTCACTCACTGATTCTCTTAACCAACCAAATCTGATTGGAGCTTATTTGGTTGACTAGATGACACTTATAATCACACAAAATCAGCGCCCCAAACATCCCTTGGTGATCTCCAAAGATCTCCTCTTGATATAAGGGATTTGTTCCAACAAGATCTTATCTTATCCTTTTGTTATGAAACAACTTTTCATAGCCAATTCAAATTCAAATTCAAACATTTAAATTCAAACGTTCAAACATTTAAATTCAAAATTCAAAATTCAAATTCAAATTTCAATTCAAAATTCGAATTTCAAAATTCAAATTCTAAATTCCAATTTCAAAATTCAAATTCAAAATTCAAAATTTAAATATTTGATAATTAATTTAACTAATTAAATTAATTAGTAATGTCTTGGACCATCCAAGCCCATTACATGATCCATGCGCCCTTTTCCTTTTTAGGTGGGCTTCCAAACTTCTTCTTGGGCTAACAACCATTATTAGGCCCAATACCTTTAATGCTAGATCATCATGACAATAAGGTGTTAGTGTGTGACCCATTAGGTCCAACATAGCCACTGACATAAATGGGCTCGGGCCCAACAAGCCCACAACCCATTTAATGACAACACAGAGCACTGACAATGCTTTCTTGCCCCAGAACTAGTTAGATTAATGACTTGATCATCCTATTATACATATTTGGTTACCGTATATATTTTCTTTCGTCTCGGTTAAATTCCATTAAACCTAGGGTAAGGAAATGTATCAACCCTTGCGGTTTAGGGTAGGCTTTATTCGAAATAGGGAATCTTCAATTTACTGACTCTAAAGGTAGATCATCTCATGATCTCTTTTACTATGCATAGATTCTCGAGTCCCAGTAAATGTCATCCCGATTTCTCCGGTTTACAGATAACCTAATCTCTCACAGAGATTTGACGAATTCCTTCAGCTTATCACCCTAGCCCTGTGCTCTTTCAGGACAAGCCCAACAATGCATGCCTTCTTGAACACAGTCTAGGTAATAACTTCTGGTCTAAGGAAAGACATACCCAAATATAAAGAGACTACTCTAATGATACTATTTGTGAGATTTCCTCATAGAGTCTCTTTGTGGGTCTGTTCAGTGCGAGCTATACCCTTATAGGTCCACCCACGACTTTAGCTAAGACATCTCCATATCTATAGCACATGAGGTCTTTACCTTGTATCCAAATACAAGTAGATAAGTCGTGCTAGTCTTACCCGAGATCACTGATCCCCATTCTCAGTGTCTCTAGACTAGGAACATAAAATTAGGAATAAACATGCGGTATCCTAGAATCCTCATGATCGTGATCTCATCACAGATACTCAGTAGATACCTGTTTTATTCCAAGGGGTTTATCCAGTTACTCATATAAAATATTAACAATAATATTGAGACAAAATATGAAACAGGATAAAGAGTGCTTTTATTTATTTGCAACAATATAAAAGGTCCACATATGTCCTAATCTAATCAAAAGATTGTCTCTAGGACATCCATATACTAACATACCTCACTTCTCACAGATTTGAAGATGATTGATCTGGAGCTAAATTCACATGGAGAGGCCCCTGCTTCCTGAACATGGATAGAGTTTTTATGAGACTTGACAGAGCTTATAGCAACGCTAGATGGAGAACTTCTTTTGAGGAAGGACATGTCAAAATTCTTCCTAGGATCAACAGTGATCATAGCTCTTTACTTGTATCTTTGAATCCTATCAAGGAAGATTGGAAGGAAAGGCCCTTTCAGTTTCATTCTTTCTGGCAAGACCATGAGCTGTTGACCAATTTCTAAAGGATAACTGGCATGTGCAAGGAAAAATTTCTGAAAGTCTGAAAATGCTTACTCCATGCATTAAGGACTGGAATGAAAAGGTTTTCGGTAATATAAAGCGTAGAAAGAACAAACTGCTGAATAGACTTGAAGGTATTCAAAGAGCCATTTTTTATCAGAATAAAGTCTATCTTCAGAAAGTGGAAAAAATCAAAGTTAATCTTGAAGAGGTACTCAATCAAGAGGAACTCCTTTGGTTTGAGAAATCTAGGGCGGATTGGATTAACCATGGTGATAGGAATTCCAGGTACTATCACACTAAAACCATTATAAGACGGAAACAAGAAAAAATT